CATTTTGGCCCTCGCCTCCGCCCCTTTCCCCCCTCCTCCGCTTCCCCCATCTCCCCCATGGGCCTCCAGTCTGTGCCCTCGTTCCACCCGTCCCTGCCATCCTGATGGCATGTGTCTCCCCCGGCACCACCCTCGACAGCGCTCCTTCTGTCCAAGCAGCCCCTCGCCCCCATAGTGGCAATACGCAAGCGTATTCATGCTGCGTGTTCGTCGGCCTCCTAGTGTAGTTTCGGTGGCCAGCGCTTTCTTGCCATACCGCCGGGGTAACGACACACTATACGACGTGCCCCTCCAGGGGGGTCGCATAGTTAGTTCGGCAGGTTCGCGTCGTGTCGACCGGCGGCGACCCCGCCGGCGGCGTTCAACTTTGAACGCCGCGGGCGACCCAGAATCGTTTGATGTGGAACGATTTGGACGTCTCGGAAACGGCCAATCGTTCTAGGTTGAACGATCCCCGCGGTGTCAGAAACCAACGCCGAAGTCGGCACGACACGAGCCTGACGTATGTCCTCTTGCGTCCCGTCATCCTTGTCTCAAGTCGGGCCTGTCCCTCTACAAGAGGAATAGTATTTAAAAATAATCAAAACATAGCATGGGGACGATATTTTGACATTTTTTGATTTCTTTTTTGAATCTGTCCCGGGTATTTTTTAATTTTCGTCCAAAATCCCCCTGTAGGGACACAGGCCCGACCTCATCCTTGTCCCTGTCCGCCCGCGCCTCCTCCTTCTCCTCCTCCTCCTCCTCCTCCTCCTCCTCCTCCTCCTCCTCCTCCTCCTCCTCCCCCTCCTCCCCCCCTCCTCCTTCTCCTCCTCCTCCTCACCACTCATATCCTCCTGACTCCTGCCTCCTCCTACTCCTCCTCCCAGTCCCGTCCTCCGTCCGTGCAGCAAGGCGTGCCCCAGCGCGGTCTATGGAGATAGGTCTCTGCCCTACGGCACCCGGTGATGCTAGAGCTCAAACAGGCGCCGAGCAAGGCCCGGGGGGAGGAGGAGGGGGAGAGGCGGAGGAGGAGGAGTGAGTGATGAGGAGGTAGGCGGCGCTGGAGACGGAGGAGGAGGAGTAGCGGAGGAGGAAGGCGGAGGAGAGGAGGAGGAGGAGGAGGGGAGGAGGAGGAGGAGGAGGAGGGGGAGGGGAGTGGGAGGGGGAGGAGGAGGAGAGGAGGAGGAGGAGGAGAGAGGAGGAGAGGAGGAGGAGCGAGGAGGAGAACGAGGTAGGAGGAGGCGGAGGAGGAGGGAAGGGTAGGAGGGAGGCGGAGGAGAGGAGGAGGAGGAGGGGAGGAGAAAGAGGAGGAGGAGGAGGAGGAGGAGGGGGAGGGGAACGCCATCGCTTGACGAGCCCACAGCAGTTTTATTAATGGAGGGCGGCTCCCTGAGCAACTGCGCGGGCTGCATGGTGATCCAGGTCCGCTGTCAGGCTTGCTTCTCTTCCGATTGGAGGGCGGGCTTTCTTTTGTTTGACCCGATTGAATGCCTCAGGCGCTTCGGGACGTGCGGCGAATGAGGAGGGTGAGTGCTGTTTCTGCCAACCTGAGGCAGAGTGAACAGGTTTAGCGCAAGGCCCTCTTCTTCTGGGTCTGTGGCTTGGCAAGCTTGAAAGTGCCTAGTGGTAGGCGTTTCTGGAACTTTCTCAACTGCTGCTTCCCATATGGATTCATATCATCGGGGGCACTCCCCCATGACATTCCGCGATGTTTGGTTAGCAAAACTACCTACAGCCAAGACGCACCGTGCAGGAGGAGGACGAGGGAGGAGGAGGAGGATGAGGAGGAGGAGGAGGAGGAGAGCGGCTTCAGGAGTTTCATGGCATCTGGGATGCATGGAAGCGACAGGTGCTCCTCCAGGATCGCTCGAGTGCCTTGCTGCACAAACGCGTGCTCATACGAGTGGGCGGGTCCAAGGCCACCCCAGCCCTGGCAGGTGTGGGAGCAGAGTTGTGTGCGTGTGTGTGTGCGTGTGCGCGCACGTGTGCGTGTGTGTGTGTGTGTGTGTGTGTGTGTGTGTGTGTGTTTCAAGGACTAACTAGATGTAGGATTGGGCAGCTGTGGCAAGCGCGGTGTCAAGAGCTGAAGGGCGCTGCCCGTGTTCGGCATCGGTCTCTCCAGGGATACAACGGGGATTGCGAGTCACTCCTGCGCGCCATTGAGGTCCTCCACTCTTGCCTGGGGATCTCCCGCCCGCTCCCAGCCCACCTGGGCGTTGTAGGAGAAGGGTGAGGAGAGCGAGAACGCGCGCTTTTCGCGCAGAGGGTTCTGACGGGGTCACGCGGTGGCGCCAGCGATTGCGAAGATGCGCGGCCCGCCTCCTGAGCAGCGACGAGGGACCTGTGCAAGCAACGGCGTGAGACAGCAGATCCCAGAGAGGCCCCAAGCTCTGCGAGCAGAAGAGAATGGAACGAGGCGGAGGGGGATGACGAGGACAGTGGTGATACTGATAATACGGAGGGAGAGAGGGTGGCCAGAGGCGTGTCGGTGGATATTCATTCAAATTCGTTTCGTCAGCCACTTCTGGTTTCGACATGGGTCTCCTCGGGCAGAAGATGGCGACACGGTGCGCAGAACATGTCATCTTGCAGTGCTGATTTGTGGCAATCGCCTCAGCGTGACTTGTCTATGTGAAACCGCTATCAGAGCAAGGATGTGTTCCTCTAAAAGTAGTCACGGGCGGTTCTTGTCGTGCTGACGCGGAGGCGACCCCGCCGCGGGTGTTGAAGGTTGATTTCCGTCGGTGGCCCAGAATCGGCCAGTGTGGAACGATCTGACGATCTGAAGGCCGCCGATCGTTCAAGGTTGCACGATCCACTCGGCGTCAGGCCAGGATCGTCACGACACGAACCTGCTGTAGGCTGGATTGGGCGAGTCTACAGGTGAAGAAGTAGGCGAGGAAGCAGTGTGGCTGAAGGGCGGGTCCTGGCCGCGGGGGCGTGAGCCACCAGACTGCACCCCTCGGCGCGCGCGGCCAGGCCGTGCCCCCTGGGGGAGCACCTCGAGTGGCCTTTTGAAGGTCTGTTTTTCGTGGGTTCTCTGGCCGTGTTGGGGCCATCTCCAGGGAAGCGGTCCAGCTTTGGGGCTTCCTGGAGCTCCGGAATTTTCCCGATGCGATCTGAAGCCGTCACGCCTCGAACGCCAGAAGCGTTGAGTTCACTGCTTTGAATCGCTGCTCATAGCTAGTCTTGGCACCTGGCGAGGCCTCTTTAACGTCTCTTGGGGGTTTCTCGGGGCCTCTTGGAATCCCGAAGGGACATCCTGGAGCCTTGGGGCGTCGTTGGGACGTCTTAGGCTGGTCTTCGGACACACGGCAGCAGTCTAGGGGCGGTTTCAGGCGGTCTCGGGGCTGGAAGGGGGAGATGATTTTCGGGGTCTGCGCTGCGAGGAGGGATCGGGCCTGGAGTGAACTCAGCATCCCGACGAGTTAGCCGGCGCAGAGGGGCATGCTCTCCCTTCTTCTCCTCCCTCCTCGAGCTCCGCGGCCTTCGTAGCACCTCGCCCCGAACTCTCCTGGGTGGCTCGGGGCCGCGGGCGCCCATCGAGGGCCCGCGCTCGAGGGCGGGGGCGCGTCTCGAGGTGGCGGCCTCGGCGCGCCGCGCCGCCCTCGGGGCGCGCGTGCCTCTCGCTGCCGCGCGGGGGGACGCCGCCGTCGGCGGGGGCGTCGAGGCCGACGGCAGAGAGGCGCGCCTGCCTCCGTCCTGGGCCTCCCGGCTGGAGCGCGCCGTGCGCAGTCGCGGGCAGCCGTGCGGCGGCCAGGCAGGGTGCTGGCGCCGCCGAGGGGCGGATCCTGTCGGATCCTGCGGTGCGCGCGTGCGGCCTCTGCACTTCTTCGGCAGCTGCCGCGCCTGCCGCCGCGGCCGCCTCCGCCGCCGCGACCGGCGCCCCCGCGGCGTCGTGCCTGGGGCTTCCGCTCGGGAGCTCCCGAGCGAAGTGAACCCCACCCTCCCCCTCAGAAATCGTGGGGGGTAGGGATAGGGCTCGCACGTGGCCCCCTATTGGGCATGGCTGCCGCTTCCTTCCCAGGAGCTGGCCCTGCTGCGCGGGGCCAACTCCAGTGGCGGCAGCGCTCCCAAATCCTGCCACTGCGCGCAAGGGCCTTGAGCTTGGGCACGGCTGCTGCTGCCGACCCTCGTCGGCGCCCCCGGTGAACCTCCTCGCCGGGGCGGCGCCGCTCGGCCCGCGCGCGCTCGGGGGGGGCCCGCCCGCTGCGGGCCCCCTCCGCGCGCGTCGGCCGCGGCCTCCGAGAGGCCGCCGCCGCCGCCGCCGCCGCCGCCGTCGTGGTCGTGGTCGTGGTCGTCGTCGTCGTCGTCGTCGTCGTCGTCGTCGTCGTCGTCGTCGTCGTCGTCATCGTCATGCTCGTCGTCGTCGTGGTCGTCGTCGTGGGAAGCGCTTGCCCCAGGGCGGCCAGGAAGTTGCTACCCCTGCGGTGGCGCGTCGGGGCATGTCCAGCCTCCCCAGGACGGGCGCCCGCGGTTGCGGGCTAGATTCTGTCATCCTGTTCTTCGCCCGCCAGACCAAAAAACGAATGGGCATTCCCGCCCTGCTGTGTGCCCAGGTCAGGGCGGCGGACTTCAGCGGTTGCGGTCGTTCGCTGCGCGCGGCGTGCTCCCTCGTCAGTGGCGGGCGCGCCTGCGTGGACCGGAAAGAGCCCGAGGGAGGGGCACCGCACCGCTCTCCTTGCAGAAAGGTCCTGCGCTGTACAGCAGGTTCGCGCCGCGTCGACTCGGCGGCGACCCCAGCGCGGGCGTTCAGGGCTGAACGCCGCCAGCGGCCCGGAGTCGGCCGATGTGGAGCGACCTGCGATATCGGAGAGCCGCGATTGTTCGATGCTGAAAGATCCACGCGGTGTCAGCAAGAGTCGCTCCCTCCTCCTCCTCCTGCTCCTCCTCCTCGTCATCCTCGTCTTCCTCGTCCTCCTCCTCCTCCTGACCCATTCGCTCCTTTCATGGCCGGCGCTCCCATGCTCCAGTGCCGCCGACGGCGGCCCGCCGGTTCGCCGAAGCGGGGGGGGGAGCGCCGACAGGCGGAGGCGCTGGTGGCCGTCTCGCAGCACGTTGCGGCGAGGGTCGGCCGCGCGCGCGATGGGTCTCTTGTGTTGGATGTTCGTTTTGGGTTTTTTCCCCATATCCTAAGGATTGGGGTTCTTGTTATTACTCTGACGCCTCCCACTCCTCCTCCTCCTTCCTCCCGCTCGCGCCTCCCTCCTCCCAATGATAATCAC